ATTGGAATCGGCCAAGAAAATTGCAATCGGTGCATCTCTAGTCTCTATTTATTTGACCTGAAATAGTTTACAAGGATTTTATTTTATTTTATTTATTTTTTGATATTTTTTTTAAGCTTCACTGACCAAAGAGTCTTTTCAAGCAGAAGTACAGAAGTGTAATACATTGTAATGGACGTTAACACTTAACACAACTAAATGTATATTTTATTGATTTAATTTTACACTAACATAAACTAACTTGTTAATAGATAGCAAAATTTACATATATGAATGACATTTAAAAAAATGTTTTTTTGCATAACTAAAGAACTAATAACTGAACTAAATCAAGGAACTTTGCTTCCGTACCATGGGTGCAGCAGGCGCAATGATATTACGCAGTGCCTGAAAATAGGCTAACTTCCGTCAACATAATGTGACCACATGCTTGCACAGGGAGCGTGCTGGGGACTATTTTCAGGCGCTGAGTAATATCTTTGCGCCTGCTGCACCCATGGTACGGAAGCAAATTCCTTGATTATTACGCCGGAATGAGAGTTTAGTTCCTAGCCATATCGGCCTAGAAAATCGCAACTTTTCATTTTCCGTCGGTCTTAGTACACGATGTAACTACAGAAGAGTCAAGTTTTAAATAGGAAAAATATCAAAACTCTTTGGTCATTTTTGAGCGAGATGCTAACGGTCTAATCAGATTCAATGATCTATGCTAAGCTACAGCTAAAAGTGCTACCGCCAGACCCGGAGATCGGCTGAATGGATTCGAAAACTGTAAAACTCAACTGTTTAACTCTAGGGGAGTTGGAAAATGAGCCTATTTTCAAAAATAGTGGAGTGTTCCTTTAAATGCTATTTCATGTGATTTTTATATTGTAAATATATTGCATTAATTGGTCAAATATCAGATTAATTGTACGGCAATATCGATACTCTTCTACTATATGTGATCCTGGAGCACAAAACCAGTCATAAGTAACACGGGTATATTTGTAGCAATAGCCAACAATACATTGTATGGGTCAAAATTTTCTATATGTTTTTTTATATTTTTTTCTTTTATGCCAAAAATCATTAGGATATTAAGTAAATATCATGATCCATGAAGATATTTTGTAAATTTCCTACCATAAATATATCAACTTAATTTTTGATTAGTAATATGCATTGCCAAGGACTTCATTTGGACAACTTTAAAGGCGATTTTCTCAATATTGTGATTTTTTTTGCACCCTCAGATTCCAGATTTTCAAATAGTTGCATCTCAGCCAAATATTGTTCTATCCTAACAAACCATACATCAATGGAAAGCTTTCAGATGATGTAGAAATCTCAATTTCGAAAAATTGACCCTTATGACTGGTTTTGTGCTCCAGGGTCAGATATGTGTGTTTTGTTTATTGCTGGCAGAGAACAAAGTATGTATATCTACATAACTGGATAGACGTATGTCAATCACGCCCTTTTAAGTTCCCACGCCACGCCCCTCTCCAGGCCATGCCCCCTCCGCCCCGGAGCTGATCTGACACGCATATGGCTGTTCGACGACTCCCTCAACAAAGTTTTTAACCCGAGAAAACACAATTCCCAGGGGTCTGATCCACCGAGCACCCTCAGATTCCAGATTTTCAAATAGTTGTATCTCGGCCAAATATTGTCCTATCCTAACAAACCATACATCAATGGAAAACGTATTTATTCAGATATTTATTCTGAGATAAATCTCAGTTTCAAAAAAATGTACCCTTATGACTGGTTTTGTGGTCCAGGGTCACATATTTGCTATTATATTATGCACATTTTTAAGTGGTTTAAAGTGTTTCCGTCCATCTTGAGTTGTTTACATGTGTCTTTGTTTGTAATCAGGCAGATGACGAGGACGCCTCGGGCAGTGAGATAAAGACCCTGCGTGCTCACAGCGGCCCCGTGTACCGCACGGCGTTCCTGACGGACGGCTCCGGCCTGCTGTCCTGTTCGGAGGACTCCACCGTGCGCCTCTGGGACCTGAGCAGCTTCACGAACACAGTTCTGTACCGCGGCCACGCCTACCCCGTCTGGGACGTGGACATCAGTCCCTGCAGCCTCTACTTCTCCACGGCGTCCCACGACCGCACCGCGCGCCTCTGGAGCTTCGCGCGCACCTATCCACTGCGTCTGTATGCCGGACACCTCTCCGACGTCGACTGCGTCAAATTCCACCCCAACTCCAACTACGTGGCGACGGGCTCCACAGATAAAACCGTGCGCCTGTGGAGCACGCAGCAGGGGGCGTCCGTGAGGCTGTTCACCGGGCACCGTGGGCCCGTGCTGTCGCTCGCCTTCTCGCCCAACGGCAAGTACCTGGCCTCGGCTGGAGAGGACCAGAGACTGAAGCTGTGGGATCTGGCGTCCGGCAGCCTGTTCAAAGACCTGCGGGGTCACAGCGACAGCATCACCAGCCTCTCCTTCAGTCAGGACAGCAGTCTGGTGGCCTCCGCCTCCATGGACAACTCAGTGCGGGTCTGGGACATACGCAGCGCCCACGGCAGCGCCCCCAGCGACGGCTCCAGCAGCGAGCTGATCGGACAGTACACAGGCAGCACTAGCAACATCCTCAATGTGCAGTTCATGGCCTGCAACCTGCTGCTGGTGACGGGCACGGCGCTGGAGAAACAGGAACAGTGAGAGTGTGTGGGGGTCAGTCTCAACAAAACACCCGGGTCATATTTAACCCCAAAATCTGATGAAATTGTTAGGGTTAATTCAGGATAATTGGCACATAATCTCTATGGCAAAATGTGTTCCAGTTTATGTGAATTCATCCTATAAGTAAAGTGAAGCCATTTAGCACCGTTATTTTTTGGCATGGTGACATTATGACAAACTTGTACCTAAGATCTTATTATTACTGTAATACAATAAACCCCCAAAAAACAATGAGATACTATTTGAATGATAAGGTATTCATCAGGGTGGTATTTGTTGTATTGCCCTTAATTTATGTTGATTCAACTAAATAATTTCAAATAATCAGTTTCTTTTCTTTAATAGACGTTTTGCAATAAAAATTATAGGACTGTAATGTCAGTGGTGTAATACTGTGAATGAATTCTGCATAAATGAAAAAGTAGTTCAACAAATATTACTTATAAATTCATAATTTACAGCATTTTTATCTTATTAAAGGAAAGACAACAAATACTACCTTGATTTTCATCATCATCATCATCATTATTATTGGCATTACAATAAGAATTTGGGTGACAATTGTCATAAAAATAATGTCATCTTAATAGGCTTTATTTTCGTTGCGCAAAATATGCTTCTATTTTTATATTTTTTTTCTTGTGAAATATGGTCGGGACATTTTCTTGACGGGTTTTCGTGAGATTCACCCGTTGTTGTTTGTAAAGTGAGAGTGTTGATGTTTTGGTTCATTTTTGTTATGATGTGTGTGTCGATGCCTCTAAAGAACATTAGAGGTGTAGCCTGCTGTTTTCATAAAAATATAAATATTAGATATATTTTTCTGAAAAAAGTTAGGTCATTATTTCCATGTCTGTATTTTTCAGTTTGGCTAATTTCTGTTGTAACGTTGCTGTTGTTTGTTGATGGCCTATGTTTATAAAGGTAAGCACATCCTGGAAGTTCACCAGGAAGCCAGATAAACTGGATTCATCCTAGTTTAGGCAGAAAACAGTCCTGACGAAGCTGTCATCATCCTAGTTTTTATTCCCCCAGTCACTAGGGATTGTGTTTAGTTTAACTGCAACAAAACAAACTTCCTCAGGAAAGCTCAAGAAAAAAAACACATGATTAATATAAATGCCACAGTTTGTCTTTTGTAGCCTGTTGAACAGCGTAACTCATGGATGGACTGAATGACGACTTTCCTTGAATCTGATTTTGCAACCCTGCCCTGCACAGTTTTGTATGAAGCAAGTCAAGTTTCTCTGTTTGAAGTTTCCTTTTTGTGTTCCTAGCGGTCAACCACACAATCATGGGATGTTTGTCTTTAACAGTGAAGAGAAAAAAAAGACTTTTGTATTGTTTGGTTCCTTCAAAGAAATGTTTTTGCATCGTTCTGATACTTTTAAATATATTTTTGTAACATTTCATAGTTGTCTGGATCTCATTTCTGATCTGATTACTGCAGTAATACCGTAGTAAAGTTCTCAAGCAGGATCCGATCCACCTCCTCGCACTCAGGCGTGGCTGCTTTCACCCAAACCAGTTCTGCTCTTGATGGGTGTGACACCAACCTGATGAGCCTGACCGTCAGAAAGAGTGGCTGGATTCATCTCACACACACTCAAACACAAGCTCACTGCTCCAGACGAGTGTCACCAGTGTCCTGTCTGTGGTTTTGGAGCTTGGTTTGAAGATGCCCTACAGCGTGACTCTGCCGAGTGGCTCTGGCCAGGCGACCCTAGTAAACAGCACACAGGGGGATGGGAAGACGTTTGAACAGCTCCGCCTGGAGTGTTTGCAAAAGGGGAAGCTGTTTGAGGATCCAGATTTCCCAGCCGTGGACGACTCGCTCTTCTTCAGCCAGAGGGTCCCGGTTAACTTTGAATGGAAGAGGCCAGGGGTAAGCGACCCGCAGTATGCATGATGCTGCAAGATGACATTTTTGACTCCTGGATAAGGTGCATACAGTAAGTAGAGTAGGATGAATTGGGTAATCTGACACACTTACTCACTTTTGAGTTACTGAAATATCAACCAGCACTTGATCACCCAAACAAATGAGACCCCGATCACATGACAAACCACCTGGATTTGATGGAGCAAGATCTCCTAGTGTAGCGGATAACCCTAAATGATATTTTAATTCATATAAATTGGCATTGCGGAATGAATTGTGGGTGAATTTGATGGGGTCTGTTGTAATCTATAAAGCATAAAGTTGACAAATGTCTAGAACTGTCAAATCTGAAGCGTTTCCTTCTCTGTGATGCTCCTCCTGTTCATGTATGGATGGATGTTAGATGAATGGAAGTGGTTTTATGGTTAGTAATTACTAATGGTTTATACACATTCCAAAAACATTGACATAGTTTTTGACCTTTATGGCACACGACTTCTACCTTTGTGTGCAATTTGCATGCTTTAGAATGTGATTTTGGCACTTTAAAACCTGTCATGCAAGTTTGCAGAATTATTCAGGCCTTGAATCAACCAGACTGGCCGTCTTATGCACACACCAGAACTTTATTCCCTAACATTTCACGTTCCTTTAAGTGTCGATTACAGCAGAGGTCATATTTGTGCATAAAGGACATTTATGAAGCCACTGGAGACTGATGCCATGCAGCAGGTCAGGAATGCCAATGGAATTTTGGCATGCACGGAATGCATTGTTTATTTAGTCTTGAGCGATTGAATGGAAAGTGGATGTAGGTTTTATTTAGTTGGAAATAGACTACTGGGTTGAGTTTAAGAACAGGTTGACAGTAGTTGTGAAAAATTATCTAAGATGCTCCACACCCCTCCTTCACGCTTGTAAAACTTTAAAGGACCGCTGAATGAAACTACAACTGCATTTCATTCCAGGGCGTTCCTGTAGAGTGACCTTAGATATGCAGTGTGAAGACTGTGGGCTTGCGTTAGAATACGAACACACCTCACGCAGGCATCATGGGCGTTCACACATCTCTCTCGGTCTCTAATCAAACACTTCATTAGATCTACAGTTACAGCAGATAATGTGATGTGTTGTATCTTCTGGAAATGTCTGTAAAAATAGTAAAAACTGAAAATACTGTTGTATAAACAACCTACAGTATCCAGCTCTTCTGTCATTATTGCATTCGGAACATTTCTTTTAAAGGGGTCATTCGATGCTACATGCACTTTTACAAGTTGTTTGAACTGAAATGTGTGTTGGTAGTGTGTGTACACAAGCACTCTATAATAAAAATCCACCCAGTGTTTTTTTTTTTAATCTACTCAAATCTTTACCCCTTTCTCAAATCGAGCAGATCTCAGATGCCTGTCTGTGTGACGTCACAAAGACAGGCCCCTCCCACGATAGTTTGATTGACAGTAGCGTTTCAGCACAGACTGGACTGGTGTCTTACCTTACCTACCCATAATTTATTCCTAAAATCAGTGTGAAATGATAGCTGATTACCAAAGGTGTAGAAGCACCTAACCCTGATCGTAAGCCTAAAACAGATATTTCCTGAAAAGTTATCTCTCAATTCTGATTGGTTAATTGGAATGTTGTTCCAGGATCAACAAGGATGTTGATCCAGGAACATGTTGTACTTGGTGAAATCCCGGTCACCGATGGATAGATAGCATGACAGGTGGATGTTATTTGATCAATTGATATTTATTTTCTCCGATCTCTTCAAATTCAGCAAATCTGCGAGATGGATGATAGATAGAGGGATGGCTTAACGGATGGATGTTATTTGATTTGAACGACTGATATTTTTCCCTGATTTAAAATTCAGGAAGTCTGCAAAGACCCAAAATTCATCACAGGAGGAGCCACCAGGACAGACATCTGTCAGGGGCAGCTGGGTATGTTTTCCTGTCGTTTCAGATTACTCAAATGTTTTATGACAAAATGAAACCCTAATTTGAGCAAAACACTTCTAATGACCAAAGAATAAAATAGTGGATCAGTGTTGGGGAAGGTTACTTCTAAAAGTGATGCATTACAATATTGCATTACTCCATGAAAAAGTAGCTAATTGCATTACTTTATATGGAAAGTAATACAATGCATTACATTACTTTTGCATTACTTTTTGTCACCTGGGCTGGGCTCACTTAATTGTTTTTTAATAACAAAAACCCCAAAAGTTATATTTTTGGCAACTTTAAGGGCCCTTTCACACCAAAAGTGAAATTAATACGCTTCAGGCTGAACGAAGTGCCTCTGCACTTCACTCACGATTGAAGAGAGGTGTCAGTGAATAAATGGGAAAACAAAGTAATTTGTGTTACTTGTTTAAAAAAGCAATTCTGATATTTTGTTGTAAATGTAAAAGTAATGCATTACTTTACTAGTTACTTGGAAAAGTAATCTGATTACATAACTTGTAATGCATTGCCCCCAACACTGATGTAATCATGCAATCAATAAAAAGTAACTGTAGTCTAATTACGAGTATTTTAAAATGTAATTTAATTTGATAATTAATTGTTGCGTTACTTATAATGCATTACCCTCAACACTGTGATGCATTAACCCTGATCATATTATGATCTCCATTCATATTGCCCTTCGTGTACGGCCACACAGGAGACTGCTGGTTGTTGGCAGCAATTGCCTCCCTGACCCTCCATGAGGACACACTAAAGCGGGTCGTACCACACGACCAGGACTTTGATCGCGGCTATGCTGGAATCTTCCATTTCCAGGTGAGTCCCTCTCTCTACAGTTTCCCAATGACCTCGAACCCTAACCAAACTCACCTTGTTGTGCAGTTCTGGCAGCATAATAAATGGATGGATGTGGTGGTGGACGACCGACTCCCGTGTGTGAGGAGCAACCTGGTGTTCGTCCACTCCGCTGACAATACTGAGTTCTGGAGTGCACTTCTGGAGAAGGCCTATGCCAAGTATGCACTTGAGTTTACAAAACAAGATACGCCTTGATGTCTTGTCATATCTAGCTTTGAGGCGTCAAACCTGTTTGTGTAAGTCATCTCCTGTGCTTCTCTCTCAGGTTGAATGGCAGCTATGAATCCCTGAAAGGAGGAAGCACCATGGAGGCCATGGAGGACTTCACGGGCGGCGTGTGCGAGATGTACGAGACGAAGAACGCCCCCACAAACCTCTTCCTCATCCTCAAGAAAGCCGTGGAGAGAGGATCAATGCTCGGCTGCTCCATTGATGTAAGCGAAGCTTTGTTGGATTCAAAGTGAGATCAGTAGCCGTTCCTAAATTCCAGATGTTTGTGTTTTCGTATCATTAGATCACAAGTTCTGCTGAATCTGAAGCACAAACCACTACTGGTCTGGTTAAAGGCCATGCTTATTCCATCACTGGAGTGGAGGAGGTAACCACAGCATTTTCATCTCTTTTTTTTTACAGATTCACTCTTTATTTTCTCTTCATTATCTCTTACGTCTTGTCTTGTCTCCTCAGGTCAACTACAGAGGATCAAAGGTCCAGCTGATTCATGTTCGTAACCCCTGGGGTCAGGTGGAGTGGAACGGACCCTGGAGCGACAAGTAAGCGTCCACTAATGGTGACACTTGAATGAAGTCCATTAGTTAAATATGATCAAAAACTCATAATAGTAGTCAGTAAGAAACATCATACAGATGTTGTATAATTACCTATGTTTCCAACCAATTATTTTTTATGTGATTTCTGGGATATTGCATGAAATAAGTTGAAAATGCACATAAACTCAATTGAGGCGGCTAACGTTTTCATTCAATAAGAAAACATGCACATAAACTATGATGGAAACTCATTTACCGAATTAATTCATGGATGCATGAACTACATGAACTTATGTTGCCTCAGCAGATTGTGTATTTAAAATGATTTGGTTTAATTGCCTCACAGAACTCATATTGTGTTCCCAAACATCAAGCATCCACCCAAAATGCAAGATAACATAACAGCATTTGTTATTGCATTTTGTCTGTGCGCTCTGGGATGCAAGTCATTTATTATGTAGGGAAAAAGAGCCACAGGCTTCCCCAGTTGCAGCAATTTTTTATTATTTCATTACTGATACTCTTGTGTTCTTTCTTTAAATCTTGTTTTTCAGTTCCAGGGAATGGAACACTATTGACAGTTCAGAGAAGACACGACTGCTGCACAACTCTCTGGATGACGGAGAGTTCTGGTATGTATGACATGGCCCCCATAGTGCTAAGTCTGAATGATGGTACAGTTAACATTGCAGTCTTAGAGGAATGAAAGTGTTCAGGGAGGAGTGTATGTTATGTTATGCGAGTGTATAAAGTATGTTATGAAGGGCTTTGAAAGTTAACAGAAGAAGTTCATATCAGGTTGATTGCTCTTAAAGAATGGCTTTCACATGAGAGCCAGGATGATCTGACTCTGCGAGCTCATTCAGATGTGTGGTGTGAACTAACATGACTTGCTGTGTTGCAGGATGGAGTTCGGGGACTTCAAAGCCAACTACGATAAAATTGAGATCTGTAACCTGACCGCAGATTCTCTGTCGGACGACGTTAGGAAGAAGTGGGAAGTGAATCTATTTGAGGGCAACTGGATCAGGGGCTCCACTGCTGGCGGCTGCAGGAACTACATCGGTCAGTGTCGCGTAGCAAACCCCGCATAGATTTCATCATAAAAGTTTGCATGCTAATCCATGCTATCGTTTATACATGAGGCCCAGAAATTTTATTATTTACAGTTGCTTAGACCTGTATTCGTGTTCCTCTTGATCTCAATTTTCCCTTCTCAGACACATTCTGGACAAACCCGCAGTTTAAGCTTCGTCTGGACCATCCTGATGATGGTGACAAGCTGTGCAGCGTCATCGTGGCGCTGTTGCAAAAGAACCGCCGTCGGCTCAGGAAAGAGGGGCTTGACATGGAGACCATTGGCTTTGCCATTTACGAGGTGAGGGAGATGTAATACTGTGTTGGAAGATGGGTTTGAAGAACTTCATGTAGTAGTGCCTCTCGCTCCACTGAAGTCTGACCTGCTCTCACTTACTGTACCCTTAGGCTCCTGATGATCAAGATCACCAGGGGAAGGACTTTTTCCGCTACAACGGCTCTAAAGTGCGGAGCCGCTCTTACGTCAACATGAGGGAGGTGTCCGAGCGCTTCAGACTGCCGCCAGGAAACTACCTGCTGGTGCCCACCACCTTCCAGCCGCACCACGAGGCTGATTTCCTAATCCGGATCTTCTCAGAGAACAAAGCTGGAGCCATGTAAGTCCATGCAAATACTCTTCAGTGTTATCAGCCAGATTTTAAAGCAAATTTCAGCCAAAAATAAAAGTTGTCATTATTTACACACATTTACTCATGTCTTTCAAAACTCATATGCTGTTATTTTTTCTATGATTACAAAAGGAGAAAAAAAAAAAAAGAATCTTCATGCAGCTCTTTTCATAACGAACATGTTGATGCAGCTCCAAAAAACAAAAAAATGCACCATTTAAATAGTACAAAAGTAGTTTATATGACTCATATCATTATATTGCACTGTAAGTCATGTAACTTTTTATATAACGATAGGCATTATTCACAAAATAATCTTAGTATGCGCATGTGTGTATGCATTTCACTGGCATTCCATTAAATATATAATCATAAACGTATTATAACTACAGTGAACTATTCATTTATCAATACATGTTTTTGCTTCAGTGCATTTTGGAAACACATTTCCATAAAATAAAAAAAACTACAATTTATTATGAGTCAGATGGTGGTCAGTGAAGTAGTTCCTTTAAGTACACTCAACTGAATACTCATTATATCCCGTAGATTTATTTTTGCCCCAAATAACTGTACAATGTAATGTGTTTTGTGTTTGCAGTGAGATGGGAAACACCATTAAAGCAGATCTGCCAGAGGTGAGTTGGTTCATTTATAGTCTCGCTGGGAGCTGGGAAAGACTCGTTTACTGGACATAAACAGTTCGACATACACTGATGTTGTATGCTAAAAGTGTGTGCGCATGTGTGTTTCTGTTTGATTTGCGAAGCCACCGAAGCCAAACCCACCTGAGGAGGAGACCGATGAGGAGAAGGGCCTGAGGAGACTGTTTGAACAGATCGCCGGATCGGTAAGAAACTGAAAACTCCAGTCAACCGTTTACTGCTGGGTTTCCCAAAGCGAACTGCATGGTGTTGATAAAAAGCTGATGACAAACTAACAATTAATCAAATCCTAAAAATCTGACATTAAAGTAAACAATTAATTTTAAAAGAAAAACAATCAAGATATAAAAAAAATATGGGGTTCCATTTGTGCCAAAAATCGGCCAAAAAGCCGACTGCTTTGTGCTATACATTTGTCTTTGTCTACAGTCATTGCCTAATTGTTCAGGTAAATCAGTATATGTTGAGGTGTATGTTGTCTGTTGACATCGTCTTAATTTGTCATCCTGCTATCTTTTTCTCTGTTGTTTTTACTGTCATCCTTACTATCTTTTTGTTCTCTCGTCCTAATGTCGTCTTTACTGTCGTCTTGTTCTGTCATCATGACATTAGGATGACAGAATAAGATGACAGTAAGGATGACAGAACAGGACAACAGAATAAGATGACAGAACAAAACGACAATAAGGACAACATTAAAAAGATTAAGACTACGTCAACAGACAACATATCGACATATACTGATTTACCTGAACAATTAGGCAATGACTGTAGACAAAGACAAATGTATAGTACAAAGCATTCGACTAATTTTTGGCACAAATGGAACCCCATAAAAAAGCTTATTTGTCTCATCTTATTTGTTTACCTGCATGTCATGTGACTATTAACCGACATAATAGCAAATATGCAATCATGCGAGTGTATTATTAAATGATTGAAATATTAACTTAAATCTTAGGGGGCACTTTAAGTAAATATTTTAGGTCAAATGATTAATATAATTAAAAAATATATATAAAAGCAATTTAAAAAAACGTATTAAAAATATTTTGTTTGTTTACCGGCACGTCATGTGACCATTAACTGACATTAGAGAGCCATGAACATGGAATGTGTTATTAAATTATTAAAACATTAACAAAGGAGTTAGGCTGGGAAAATGTTTGGTAATCACAAAACAGACTGAGCACGCCCTCATCTGGTGTAATTGTGAATTACTGTATGTTTTACACTGTTCCCTATGTCTCTATGTAGGATAAAGCCATCAGCGCCAGAGAACTGCAGCATGTGCTGAACAATGTTCTGAGCAGAAGTGAGTCTGTCACCATTTTCAAGCATTTTAATCCAAAACCAGAAATACCATAAAAACCCAACATGCAACTGTCTCTCTGCAGGGAAAGAGGTGAAGTTTGATGGTTTGACCCTCAATACCTGCCACAGCATCATCAACCTGATGGATGTATCCTCTCAGCGGCCGTCCATGTGTTATTAGTCTAAATTAACCCACTTCTGCCTCAGGTTTAATTACAAAATCAAACATTAAACCCTATGATGTGTGAGTTTTACATCTTTGATACGTGAGTATTATTGTTGCTGAGTTTTCCTGAACCGAGTGCAGGTGGATAACACTGGAATGCTGGAATTCGAGGAGTTCAAAGTCTTCTGGGAAAAGCTGAAGAAATGGATTGTAAGTTACAGACTCATACATTTACTTGTTAGCTTGTCATCAATGACCATCTTCCAGAATATCACCATATTTCTCAGAATGAAACTTCCGCAGAGAAACTGTAAAGTTGTGTCGTGTGCTGTTGTAGATGCTGTTCCTGTCTTACGATACGGACCGTTCTGGACGCATGTCATCCTACGAGCTGCGCAGTGCTCTTAATGCTGCAGGTAAACAGAGTGAATCATTACAGTGCAATTTAAACACAATCATTTAGAAATCAGTGTTTTTTCTGACCTTGTTTGTGTTTTCTTCATTCAGGCATGAATCTGAACAATAAGATTTTGCAGCTGCTGGGTCTGCGGTTTGCAGATGAAAATTTTGACATTGATTTTGATGATTACCTGACATGCATCGTGCGTCTGGAGAACATGTTCAGTACGTTATGACGATGCATTAACTAAAAGTCTTAGATTATCTCTACTTTTGAGTTGGACTGCAGTGTATTTCTGTGATTTTTTTTTTTTTCTTTATTATTAATATTCAGAACGTTCCAAAATGTGTGGAGTGTAAATAAGTATTTAAATCTGGATTTTGACTTATGTTACAGGAGTTTTCCAGGCCTTAGATAGTCAAAAGAAAGGAGTGATCAGTCTGAACATGATGCAGGTAAAACATCTTTTTTTTTTTTTACCTTTTTGTAAATGTAAAGAAAGCATTATTTATTTATTTGCAATACATGAACTACAACAGTTGCCCAATTTGTTAAAAATGTAAACTAGTTCTTAGTAGTTTCCTTATTTAACAACTTTAGGCAACATTTTAAGGCACATATTGCTTTCAAAATTCATGTTTCATGCATTTTGAGCTGCTTTCATATGTTTTAGTAAGTAGTGTTACTCCTTTTAATAATTCTGACATGTCAAAGTTATAAACAAATCTTCATTTCTTCACAGTTCCTGATGTTGTCCATGAACATATGAGGATTCAACAAAATCCAGCAGGAACAATGTGTCAGCTGTGCCACTGTGAACACGCTGAACAGTTTTTACACACGCTTTTGTTTGTTTGTTTGTGGGGTCTTTCCCATTGCTACTGACTACAGATTTACCTGAAAGGTTTTCTATGATTATTTTGTGAAAAAATTCTCCGGTGTTGTGTTCTTGATGGCACGTTTACTGTTATTTTTCTGTGATTTGAGGCATATTCACGCTTTATGGATGTTGCAAGGATTTGTAATAATTGCAAGATGTATTATTCACAGAGCTGCTAAACCGCCAAGTTTTCATCTCGAAAGGTGCATGCATAAATGAACAAAATCAGGAATATAAATGAATAAAAATGACAATCAATTACTGTGGCTATTGTTATTGAGAAGCTGTAATAGAGCGTCCAATTACTGAAATATGTTTAATAAAAAAAATCTTTGTTTAATATTAAACAAGGTCCAAGCATTTTGTCAGTGATTCATCACCAGGACAAAAAATAAAAATAAATAAAATGAACTAAATGGGCAGCGTATTACTGGTTAATGAAATTAAACATTTTCATCAAATCAAGCAAGCAAATAAATGAATTAACAAAAATGAAACATACCATATCAGCGTACATCGAATATAAAGAGGTACAATTTTACATTAAAACTAACAAACTAATTTCTTTCTTTTCTTTATATATTTAAATGTATAATTATGCGTGCTTGGTGTTTTTTTTCCTTAATCTGAATTCATATATATCTATATAGTTATAGACCTATTATATTTATATATTTACCTTATTGTTACATTCTGTCTGACCTAAGATGGCCCTTAAATAACATAATTACACCATTCGGGATAGCACCAAATACAGTGGTAAACTGTTTTGGAGTAACAGGAAACTTATAGTGAGAAAGAAATTCTTGATAAGTAAACAAGTAACCATTCTGATGAAATAATTGACTAACCCGATTGATACCATTTTCAAACCAGTTTTCAAAAAATAGGGACTTTGGTGGGTAGGGATTGTTTATATAGGGATTGTTTATAACAGATATTCTTATTATTCCAAATGAAGTGATTAGTTGGAAAAAAATGTGTTTGAAAATCACAGACCATGCCAAAAGTGCTTGTTTGTGGAAATTGGAGAAAGCAACAGGGATCTTCTCAATACTGTAGTTACATAATAATAGAACATTCAAACCTACTGGATGAAATTCAGTTGATTTTAAAGGTAACTTTAACGTTGCAAAATCAACCAAATTAAGACCTCCGTTACTGTAGCTGTTGGATAGAACAGATTTTTTGACGTAATGTGATAATCTCTCAGAAATGTAGAATTTGTAGGGTAGCGTCTTAACGTCATCATCAGTCCCTCGTTTAGACTAAACCAAAACTGATTCAGGGGTGTTTCTTCAACTACAACGGTCGCGCCTGGTAGCGCTGTCATTTATTCGATCGCTTCAGTATATAATTTCAAATCATATATATACAAATCGTAAATAGCACTATATATAAATAATAACATGTTGTTTATAACAGATTTTTAAGCCAGGACTATCGCTCCTCCTTCAGTCAGTCGGGATGGTATAGTCCAAAAATGGCCGCTGTTGTCCATGCGTTTCGAGCTGACAGTAGAGTTTCTATTTGATTCTTCGTTGTTCACTTTTCATAACATTGATACTATGTAAGTCACTTCATACCTGTAATACAAACGTTTGGATAATACATTAACTCGTAAGAATGGTGAGTAACTTCAGTCTTGTTTACATATTTAGCTGTCAGGCTAGTGAATCCAGTAAGTGTGTAAATCACGTTACACAGTTGGTTATTAAATAACTTTATCATTTAAACACTAAATTCAATGCCTAAAATAGACTTGTTTCAGTCAAGATTTATGCTTTAGTTTTGTGTTACGTTTTAATAAGGCAGCAAGCAGTCTTCTTGTAATATTAAATGTGTTTATTGTAAAACATTTGGCCCAAACACACAAAGATGAAATAAAATGAATCCAGAAGTGACTAAAATGATCCTGCGGTCACAGAATATGACAGTTTTGTGTGTTGGATACTATTTAAGTCACTTCATACCTGTAATACAAACGTTTGGATAATACATTAACTCGTAAGAATGGTGAGTAACTTCAGTCTTGTTTACATATTTAGCTGTCAGGCTAGTGAATCCAGTAAGAGTGTAAATCACATGTTACACAGTTGGTTATTAAATAACTTTGTCATTTAAACACTAAATTCAATGCCTAAAATAGACTTGTTTCAGTCAAGATTTATGCTTTAGTTTTGTGTTACGTTTTAATAAGGCAGCAAGCAGTCTTCTTGTAATATTAAATGTGTTTATTGTAAAACATTTGGCCCAAACACACAAAGATGAAATAAAATGAATCCAGAAGTGACTAAAATGATCCTGCGGTCACAGAATATGACAGTTTTGTGTGTTGGCGCATTATCGTTGTGATCTGTCCGTCTCCAGCCTCACAGAAAGAAGAAAGCCTTCATCGGTAAGGAGAACGCAGTGTCCTTCCACCTGGTGCACAGAAGTCAGAAAGACCCGCTCGCTGCAGACGAGACAGCACCTCAGCATGTCCTTCTGCCCGCTGCCAAGGTAAAACAAACACACCAAACAGGTTCTGTAGTGTTACGCAGTACGCATGACACTCAAATATCACCCGTGACCGTGTCACTGAAGTTGGCATTTGTCCCTGCAGGTGGAGGTGGAGAAGAGGAAGGAGGAACAGCGCAACTTCGGAGTGTTTTTTGATGACGACTACAATTACCTGCAGCACCTGAGAGAGGCACCCCAGCCCGCAGAGCTGGTCTCTGCTCCTCGCTTACGCAGAGATGCACGACCAAAACCTGCAGAGGACGAAGAGGATGCCAACGTCCCTGTAAGGCCAGCAGCTCCCCCATGCAGCCTTTAGATCTCCATAAATGACATTTATATATTCTGCACATGTGACACTGATTGTGTAATTTGTAAAATGTATACTGCACCAGAACAGTCCACACAAAAATGAAAAGACCTGCCCTCATGTCTTATTAAACCTGCGTGACTTTATTTTTCTGTGGAACACGGCACAGAAAGATCACCCCACCTTGTTACACCTTGGTGAAAAATGGCCGGCCTACAAAAATGATAAATTGTCACCAAATATTGGATTCAATCTTTTTATCAACTTATTTTCTTTAAATTACTCAAGAATTTATTGATCGTAGGCATGAGCTTATGCATCTTAGGCACCAATTTTGAGATAATATTGCCAAAATGATCAACAACAAATGCTTTTTTCAATCAAAAACCGAGATGCATAAGCTCAGATCAGTAAGGGCTACGATCAATCAATTTCAAAACAAAATACAAAACCTGTGCTAATTGAAAGAAAACAATTTGACAGAAAGATTGATTCCAAGATTTGGTGGTAATATAACATAACGAGATGATTGATAAGCTGTTTTTAAAAGGCCAGACAAAAACACCAAATTAGGTAAAGGATTTTCAGCACAGGGGTTAATTCTTTCGTGTTGACATTTCCAATGAAAACATGAAATTGTGGAAGTTCTTATTAATAGCCATCAGCTTTTAGTTTACATCACAGCTGTGAATCAGGTTTTGTTACTTGCTAATTCAAATCAAAAGTAGGCGATATTAGGGAACAAAAATGTGTACACATCCCTGATTTCGTCAATATTTTGGTCCATTTTTCATGACACGAAAGATTTGAAATGTTAAATGTGTTATTAGATAACCTTGTGGTTATTTTTACTAAAAATATGCGTGCAGCTAGAGTGAGGGTGACAACAAACAGCATTATGGTCCGGTTGCGTCTCCTGCAGTTAATAAGCATCGTTCCGCTTGTGTTTTGATGACATGCTGATGTTTATGTTTGTCATACATGCAGACGGCCTCCATCAAACTGCCCTCGTCTGTGTTCGCGTCTGAGTTTGAAGAGGAAGTGGGTTTATTAAACAAAGCAGCTCCTGTTTCAGGTGAGATCAGAACCAGTCCTGCTTATGTGTCTGCGTTCACAAACCTGCAGAGCAAACATTTACTTTATTTCAGATCATACCTCATTGGCTGTCTTGATTCATTGGTCGATTCATGAAGAAAACCAAAAAAAAACACTAGCTTTCTATTTTTTTCTATTCTATCTACTTGTTTTTCTTTGTGTGTGTGTGTGTGTGTAATGTGTGTCTGTGTGTGTGAATATGTATATGTGTGTGTATATATATACACCTTGCTACGTGTACTGTGTTAGGCTAACCGAGACTTATCATTTTGCACTTATATATTGTTGCTCTTTTGTTAGTTTTGACTGCTTTTATTGTCCTCATTTGTAAGTCGCTTTGGATAAAAGCGTCTGCTAAATGACTAAATGTAATGTAAATGTAAAATAAGGCCTCAGACAGGGATGGGTCATGTTTTATTATTTTTTTAATACTATACAGTTCAAAAGTTTGGGTTCAATAAGATTTATGGTGTTGTTGTTTTTTATTTAATATTTTTGTTCATCAAGGATGCAATAAATCAATTAAAAGTGTCCATAAAGGCATTTAAATTTTCTGTTTAAATATATATATATTTTTTTTACTTTGTGACAAAAATATCACTGTTTTCACAAAAATATGAAGCAGCACAACTGTTTTCAACACTTATAATGATAAGAGCAGCCAATCAGTATGTTAGAGTGATTTCTGAAGGATCATGTGACACTGAAGACTGGAGTAATGGTGCTGAAAATTCAGCTTTGCATCACAGAAATTACTTTTTAACATATATATTGATAAGTGGCAAAGCCAAACAATAGTAAATGGTAATGTGACCTTGATTTACAAAAAGAAAAAAAAAAAAGAAATATATTTTCATAAAAAAATATTAAGCAAAAGGTTTGTAGTCAAAGAAACTGCCAAATGCAAATGTAGTTTTGCGTCTTGCTTTCCAGGGCCGCGGTTGGATATGGATCCTGACATTGTCGCTGCGCTGGATGAGGACTTTGATTTCGACGACCCAGAGAACATGCTGGAAGATGACTTCATCATCAAAGCCAATGACGTTATGGGGTAAAACTGACAAATGACAAAACATTAGCATGAGCCTGATAGCTTGTCGATGGTTGGATAAGTTGGATGTAAATTAAGTGAGTTAACCAGTGGGATGAATGCTTGAATCTGCATAACCCCGCCCACATTTCCTTTTGGTTTTTGACCTCAGTGGTGATGATGATGAATGGGAGGACACGGATGAGGACGATGATGAAGACGAGGAGCAAGATTGTGATTCAGAAGGTGGTCTGTCAGAGGATGAGGAAGGCGGCCGGAGAGAGTTCATGTTTGCCGACTGTGAGACGAAGAGTCGTTTCACAGAGTATTCGCTCACGTCTTCCGTCATGAGGAGGAACGAGCAGCTCACGCTCCTGGACGACCGCTTCGAGAAGGTCAGCCAGCAGGTCTTCCACACACATAATGATGAACATTAGTGCCTGTTCACATTGAGCACAAATTAATCTTTAACTACAACACAGCAACATTTGTTTCTTTTCTGAAATGTTTACAGTTCGCCACATTTAATGTGCCACAGCCATGCACAAATTTTAAAAATTAAAGTGTATTTTTTCTTTGTTGTGTAGTTGCAAAAAGTCACCAAACAATGAGATAGACACTGAAGACTGGAGTAATCATGTTGAAAATTCAGCTTTGATCACAGGAATAAATCACATTTTAATATATATTACAATAGAAAACAGTTGTTTTTTCAGGGTTTGAATTTAACGTTTTCACTCACCAGCTAATTTGGCCAAAAAATGTTATCAGCCATTCATAACTTCTACTAACCAAAAAAAAAAAATCTGCACAGATTTGGCTTAAATGAACTTAATGTGTGAACATAATTTACGAAAAGTAACCCACCAAATTGGCTAGTGATTTGACAGCGTTACCCGCCACTGCTGATTTTTACCCGCATTTGGCGGGTGTTCATTTCAAACCCTGGTAATAATATTTCACAATAACACTGTTTTTACTGTATTTTTATCAACTAAATGCAGCCTTGGTGAGCAGAAGAGACTTCAGTAATCAATCAGTAATTGTCTGTTTGTTGAATAGTTTTACGAGCAGTTTGATGATGACGAGATCGGCGCGCTGGATAATGCAGAGCTGGAGGGCTACATCGAACCGGACAGCAAGCGACTGGAGGAGGTCATCAAAGAATACTTCATACAGAAAGAGAAAGAGTGAGTGTGTGCGACTGTCACGGATCTGTGTGTGTGTGTGTGTGTGAGAGAGATCACAGCAGAAGAGCTCATCACTTTGTGTGTGTGTAGATGTCAGAAACCAGATCAGCTGGGTCCTGCAGAGCTGCCCTCTGTGAAAGAGGAAGACGAAGAAGAGGATGATGACGAAGAGGCGGAGATTGAGACGATGGTCATTGAGCCGCCTACAGAGCGCTGGGACTGTGAGACCATCATCAGTGAGTCTGGATCCATAGAGTTTCTGAAGGACCACATGTATTTCTACATATTAAAAGGATATTGCAGTCTGCTTTGAAAACCAAGTATCAAAATTATAACGTTTTGAGGACCTTCTGGTTATTCTTATAATCATTTTCATCTTTCTCTCCCAGGTACATACTCCAACCTCTACAACCGGCCCAAACTGATCCAGGACCCCCCAAAGGTGAAGAAACCTGCCTTGCATGCTTCATATTTAATCAATTGTTCACTCCTTTTATTAGACAGATAAAGAAGGAAAGGGACTGATCAGATTCACTGCGAGTTAAATTTCCAATTCAAATCCACGTCCATTTTGCATGCCATTTTCTATTTCAGAGGTCATTAGAGAACATGTTTGTTCATAAGGATGGATGGGGTTACATAAGCATTATTAGAGCTTAAAAACACAAACACCAAGAGGCGTGGCCCATAGTGCAAACCGTACATTACAGGAATAAATGACATTTTACAATATATTCAAGTTCTTTAATATGCAGTTATATACAGTTATCTAAAAAATGTACAATGTACACAATATATTGATAATAAATCAGCATATTGGAATGAAAAAAAAAATATATGTACGTGTGTGTGTGTGTACAGGGTGTGATTTGTGTATATTATTAGAGCTTAAAAACACAAACACCAAGAGGCGTGGCCCATAGTGCAAACCGTACAGCATGGTGCTTGCAACACCAAGGCTATGGGTTTGAATCCTGCATGAACTGATATTATCTATCTAGATCTGGAATGCAAAGCAAGTTTCTTTGGATGAAAGCAACTGCCAGATGCATAATGTAAACATGTGTTTGCAGATCCGAGTGTCCGATAAGACAGGGATTCCTCTGGACGTCCTGCCAAAACGAGGCCTGACGGCCAAACAGGTGGAGAGGATGGAGAGGATCAACGACTCGGACCTGCCCCGAGCCTCCACACAGCCCCGCTCACGAGACGAGAGCGCAGAGGAGAGGAGAGCCAGGAAACAGACCATCAAGACGGAGAGGAAGGTGTGTACTGCCTCCAGATGGCAGTGTTTCGTTTGTCTCATCTGATGCGTCATGCTGGAAATAATATTAAATATTAATCTAGCACACTTTATGTTGTGATTATCTACCTGTTATCTCGGCGTTATGGCCTGCCAGACATTAGCTAGTTGAGGAGAAGTGTGTTGGCACTTCAAGTTGCCAGACTTGGGATTTCTTTGCTTATTTTGTAATAAAATGAGAAAACAAATCTCACACTGGAAGAGGAAGTTGGCTCCGTATTAACCACTTGGCAGTATAACTACCTAAAAAGCACCTTTATTTTCATTCATTGTTGCTTTAGGAGAGGAGGTCAGAGAAGAAAGCAAACAAACTGGCGTTCAAACAGGAGAAGCAGATGCAGGAGAAGCGGATGGTTAATTTAAGAGCAAACGTTCAGGGCCTGAAGCTCTCGTAGGACAGCAGAGACGCTCCAGAGACTGTTTCCAACACCAGCGGAGACTACAGGACCTCACTGAAGACACGTCAGCTCACGGGTTACACTGTCGCAATACATGATGGCATCATTTTCCTTACCAGAACTTCCATGTTTGTTTGACTCATACAGCGAGTATTGCCATGTGTTGTCATAGAGACATCATAACAAATGGAATTTACAGAAACTATCATTTACGTTTGATTGTTTGAAGGTAAACCGTCAACAGGAGTTCATTTCTTAATGACTCGGCGGGGTTTTTTTTGTACGAAATGTAATTAAACATTTTAGCATATTCAAAGGTTTTCAATCAGTTATATTAAAAAACAACAACAATACAAGTACTATTTTTCCATAGAATCCCAGTCCGGTTTTAATAAAAACACAATATGGGGGAACAAAAAAAAAAAAAATCAAATTTTTTTTTACAAGTGGCACAATATAACTTTATGCAAACTATCAGCTGCCTGTAGCTAGATAGGATGGCTTTATAAAGTGGCTTGTCAGTTCATCATGATGAAAATTTCTTGTCATCTCCCATCATTATGTATTGTGCATAAATGCCATTCACAGGATTGAACAATAAACAACTTTGGCCTCAAAAGTTCCTGTTTTCATCATGGAGTGAGCATGTTGAAGATCTGCTACATGACCACGCTCTAATGTGTTCACGTCGTGTCAGAATTACAGCGAGTGTGAGTTTGAGTTGACGAAAATGTTCACATCTTTGTTGGAAATTGTAATTGCAAGCTGGAAGTGTTTTATAAAAGCTCTGGCATCATACAAAAACAACCAAACCGACAGTGTCTTTAAAAGATGTTTAGTAGCAACTTAAATGCACTACTGTTCAAAGGTTTTGGATCAGTGAGATTTATTTTCTTAATGTTTTTGAAAAAAGTCTCTTCTGCTCACCAAGGCTGCATTTATTTGATCAAAAATAAAAAACAGTAATATTGTGAAATATTATTACAAATTTAAAATAACTTTTCTCTTTGATTACATTTTAAAATGTAATTTATTCCTGTGATCAAAGCTGAATTTTCAGCATCATTACTCCAGTCTTCAGTGTCACATGATCCTGATGAGACATACGAGAACGCGGCTTAAAGTCACATGACCTGAGCAGCGCTTGTAAAAGATGTTGTAAAACTTTGTTCAAAGGCCACAAGATGAGACTCTGTCCACATAGAAGATAAAACTACAGAATGTAGCAAAATATAAGTTGTAATGAACAAATAATGCTCAAAATAAGAATAAAACAATTCCCTGAACTAGTGTAAGAGGAGTGCCGTGATGAAGACAAATGCCAAACACGTTTTTCCATTGTGCCACGAACCGGAAAACCTGGGGGAATTCCATTCATGATGCATGTGAGGGCTTGTATTTGTACAAACAGTCCCATCCCATGTCATGTTCCCGAAACACATCCAGCCGACAGGTACGGGGATTTTGCTGCATTTACGGTACTTTCCTTCACTTCTAGACCTCTAAAAGCAGTTTGGGTCCGTAACTATCTACCGTATCTCCGGGACTCATCTCCTGTTTTTGTCTGGGAGCATGTGGACAGTCGTAAAAATCCGACAGGTCGCTCTGCTCATCTTCAACGAGGTCATTAGGCCCGTAGGAGCTTTTATCTTCCGAGTCGCCGCTTCCCAGATCCCTGGTATCGGACAATGGTATCAGCGTGGTTTGCTCTTTAGTGTCCTCAGCCGGTTCGATCTGCAGACATGACTCCACATTATCCGGCACCACATTCAGTGTTTTCGAGGGGTGTGATTGTGTTTCATCGAAATCCTACCAAACCAGAAAGAGACAGTTTACAGTCACCCATCACTGTGCAGGAAAGCTGCTGGGTAACACGCTCACATAAAACACACCAGGACACTTCTGACAAATTAAATGCATGGTTTGCCCAAAAACGTATGAATTTCTTTACAAAAGAACATTGAGAACCAAACAACATTAGACAATCCACTGGTGCACATTCATTCATTCATTCATTTTATTTATTTCGGTTTTACCCCCGGTTTCACAGACAAGGCTTAAGCCTAGTCCCAGACTAAAGTGTAAATCTGAGCGGTTTTATCTGAAAGAAACTAGCACTGACTGATCTTGAAATATATCAGTGCCTTTGTTTTGTCTCAAGATGCACACCAGTAATGTTTTTGCTTAGACATGTTAATAAAAATTACTTAAATGTCCTAATTGAACTATGGCCTAATCCTGGCTTAGTCTAAGCCCTGTCTGTGAAACCGGGCCTTAGTAATTTAATTTTAGTACTTAAACTAAAACTTGTTTTGCAATTAATTATTCTTTCCGAGACAACATTTAATATCCTTTTTTATAGTTTTATTTTGTGCTTTTTCATTTGCATTTTTTTATATTGTTTATATATTTGTGTTTAGTTTTAGTTTTATTGCAGATTTAGTCATTTAAGTAGCCTACTTAAATTTGATTTTGTTTCTGTTTGTTTCCGAGACAACATTTCTAATTTATACTTTTTTTTTCGTAGTTTAAGATTTTCATTTAATATTTGCTATTTTATTTATTTTTATTTTTATCGCAGTTCTATTTTTAGTAATCATAGTACTTTAATTTTTATTTCAGCGAGCTTCCAAGACAGCATTTTGAGTTCAACCTTATTTTAAGATTTACATCTAATATTTGTTATTTAGTTTTAATGTCTTTTTATTGCAGTTTAATTTTAGTAATTATAGTACGTAAACTTTTTTTTTCTTTAAAGTGAGCTTCCAAGGGCATTTTAAGTTTTAGTTTTAGATTTTCCTCTAATATTTAGATTTTATTTTTTATTTCAGCTTAAATGACCAAAAGCAAATGTTAATCATTTTAGTTAATAACAACACTGATGGTGACTGGTTCTTTTCTTTTCTTTTCTTTTCTTTTCTTTTTTAATAGTTTTCTGGAGTATTAAATGGATAGTAGTCAACTTTATCCACCTTATTCTTCAATGCGGAAGTAAGCCTATGGGCGAGACTAGCGGTTGATTAGCGGCTATAGGGAAATAACGAGAAGAATAACAAAGTGCAGTAAACGGGAAAACTGTTTGCACTGCAAACCAATGTGTTCATAATTAAGATTATACATTAAAAAAGTATGGTAAGACACACTAATTTGCAATATCAAGCAGCAAAACGAGCGGTTTTGTACAGCTAAAAATAGCTGGATGCGGATGAGACCAGAAGCCAGACCCATATTTACAAATGCTGTTGATTTCGTAAATGCATATGATCATTTTGATGTGTCTTGCGTAAACAGGAGTGTGCAGCATTGATGCAAGTAGACAAGTGTAGGCTAATTGTAGTAAAATAAAAAAGGAAATAATTTTGCATTTGCATAATGTTGCATTCAGTTTGTATCAATGTTCTACTGGAAAAGGTCAAATAGCAACTTACAAAGAAATGCTGGAACATAGAGGGAACTTTCTTCTTCATTTCTGAGTTGCACTTCTTCGCTAACAGCATACTGACGGCAATTATGAACAGCAGCGTTAAGACAACTCCCAGCACTGGATACACGTACACGGTGACCGGAGGATCTGGATGGAAGAACGAAAATCATCAGCAAATTACATCGTCCTCTGCTGCGCATGTATTTATTGTTGGGTTTATCATTTAATATCCCTTTATAATGCTTGGGTTCTGTTTCAGCTTGGTACCATTGAGCCCATATGTTTTGTCTCATGTATAAAAATATATAATCTGCCTTCAGTATTTAAGTATTTTTAATGTAAACTGTGCTTTAATTTGCTACCTAATATGTTAGAAGCCAAAAGTTGGGATGTACTTACAAATTCTCTATTATAACTAGCAAATACAATACATAATAAAGTCATAAAAACTACAAAATAATTGCATTTGTCTAATTCAGCTCTGTTCACATGGATGTTGCATTTCTACTGTTATCTGCCTTGTGAAGTGAATGGAAGATTGTTTGGTTGAAATTGCACTTACAGCTTCTTATGTCTCCTGTGAAACAGCTGCTTCTGGGATTGAAAAACCTCTGTCCGATATTTCCAGTCAGAATGATGCGGTATTCGCCCCTGTGCTCAGAAAACACAACGGACGTCTCGCATGATGTATTTTGCTTAATTTGACAGGTTTCACAGACTTCATTCATCCCCTGTGGAGAAAACAATAGTTACAACTATTTAAAAGAACAGTTCATACAAAAATAAGCATTTCGTCATTATTTATGCATTCTATTGGACTTGAGATATACTGTACACTACTGTTCAAAGATTTGGGGTCAATAAGATCTGTTTGTTAAATAAAATTAAACTGATCAAAAGTGAGAGAAAACTATAGTTTCCCCAAAAAGAGCACAACTGTTTTCAACACTGATAATAATAAATGTTTCTTGAGCAGCAAATCAGCATATTTTCATGATTTCTGAAGGATCATGTGACACTGAAAGCTGGAGTAATGATGCTGAAAATTCAGCTTTGATCACAGCAAAAAATTACATTTTACAATATATTCACATAGAAAACAGTTATTTGAAATAATAAAAATATTTCACTTTTATTTTTTTTGTTATTGATTTGAAAATATATAATTACTTAAATTCGAATCTGTTCCTCAAATGGAGCGATCATATGACTTCAGAAGACTTCAGCTACTTTTATGTTGCATTTTGGTCTTTATTAAAGGGGTCATATGATGCTGCTAAAAAGAACATTATTTTGTGTATTTGGTGTAATGAAATGTGTTTATGCGGTTTAAGGTTCAAAAAACACATTATTTTCCATATACTGTACATTATTGTTTCTCCTCTATGCCCCGCCTTTCTGAAACGCGTCGATTTTTACAAAGCTCATCGTTAAGAATATCTCTTTGGATTTGAGACTTTAGTCTTTGCAACTTTACAGATCTTCTTTATGCACCAAGAGCTTGTAACACTCCAAAGAGAAAGGAAACATTGAAATCGCATCATATGACCCCTTTAAAGCTATAAATGATTATAATACAGAAAAAGCTGCTGAAGATTCTTCAGGTGAGGGTTTTTTTTGTATTTGGTTGAACTATTACTGCAAGCAGACAGGAAAGTGAAGGTTACCTCGTCTGTTTCGATACAGTATTCCAGATTATCGGTGAGGTTGCGCAGAGCCGGTGAGTTTCTGTACAGCTGAAGAGGGTTGGTGAACTGGACGTGAAGTTTGCCATCTTTGGGAGAAAGTTTAACCTCAGGAAAATCCAAATAACCTGAACACACAATAGTACAGTTATACTGTCGGCATTTGCTATGATAGATGATATTTCCACTAAAAACACAGGCTAAACTTACACTTAATATTGGCGGTAGCATATATATTATAGCTGAAGTTATCTGATTTGGTCGAATTTGACTTCTCTCCTCCTCGCACAGCCGTCA